CCCCAAAACCCCAAAACCCCAAAACCCCATCTCTTGTTCCTTAAATATCAATAATTTTATCATAAGATGGACTCGATAGCATCTTTTCCAGACAAGAATGAAGAAGAGGCTGAACACAAGTGCTTGTCTCAAGAAGTTAATTTATTCCAAGACTTGCTCGAAGCTATTGGGATTCTTTGTCTGAATAAGTTTTTGTCCTCTATAGACAAAGGAAACCGATACATCTATCTTAGGGTAGCCTCATAGTTTAATTATAGGGAGCTGACATTAGGGATACAACTCTTCTTATGAACCTTAAAACACCCCTAGTGATAACTATACAACTAGATTTTGGATTTTATAAGCGTAAGAGAGCCAGAATTTTGAAGGAGATCCAATCTGTAAGGAATATGGATGTTGACTCTTTTATTTTCAAATAAATAGGAATCAGGCTGCTGTTTCTATAAAGAGATTTATTCCTTCAATTATCAGATTTTTACCGACAATTACATCGAGCATTACTTTGACTAGTCTTAAGCTGATGAAAAAGGACATCCTCAGGATATTCTGTAATATTAGGCAATCTAAATCATTGACCCTAATATCATGTTTAATAGAGAGCATTAGTTATACACCTGAGCACTTGAAAAGCTACCAAACCACATTCTACACTAAAAGCAATCTATCTTTGATCGGAATTTACATAAATAGCTGCTCAAGTTTGAATAATGACAGAGAAGAATTTATACAACAAGTGGGCCTTCATTCATTAAGTTCTTGAGCTCAACTCTATTCAGAAGTTCCTTAAGGAATTCTTCTTAGAGCCATGCTGCTCTAGAGCCGAGATTGAACAACTCCTAGAGTACACCAAGTTTAGTAACCTTACTTTCAAAGGTTTTAATGTAAATCCCGATGGTTATTTTACTATAAGGGCGTAATATGTTGTCTAACAAATATGTTCGATCTTTTGGGCTCTAACCAATTAGACCAATCTAATGGGCCCATATCAGAATAATGGTTGAAAGATAGATACTGGTTTCGAGATTCTTGAATATTAGAAATTTTTCCGTTTTAGAACAACATATAATTATTCGAATTTTTATGCTCATGATAGAGATTTATAATTTTTTAAAGATTAATTAGAGAGTGTTCTCCGAATTTTGATTTCTTAATCATTGTGCAATAATATAAAATTGTGACTTAAATTTGAAGAGAGTTTTAAAGTAGAACTTAGAATGAATGGGAAATATATCTATACGTATAGTTAACCTTGAGAGGTTTAATTTACTGGGACAAAAAGCGTTATGAGTAAACTTTTACTCTCTGAATTTTTTTAACTGATGAAGTTAGAATAAATCAGATTTATCTAGAAGTTTTCTATCTCTTAGTTTTTTGTGTAAACTTCTGTCTCGCCATTCGCTCACTCCTCTAATTGATCATTCAGAAGGTGTGAATTCACAGTTTTCTAGTCACTGGAATTTGGTTGGGATGAGATCTTTGATAAGGCCGACCTTGAGAGGCTCGAGGAGGTACAATGGGAGCACTACTTCTGTTCATGCTCTCTGAAGGGTTGTTGATGTCAGGGGAAGGTACTGGACGAGGATATTCTTGGTTCTGGGGTGCTCTATGATGATCAGAGGGCTTTTTAGGAGCTATATTTTGCTCTTTCTTCTTGGTTTTATGTTTTAGTTTGTACATTACTATTGATTTTATCAAGAATGCAAAGCATATTAAGCTTCCAATAGCTGGAGAGATCATCAATATTGATGTATAATAGTGTTCATAAAACGAAGTCCAGGATTGTTTTGTATTAAGCCATGACAATGGAACTGCCAAGAAACAAAACAGTGTCTGGTTAATGATCTCAATAATATTATCCTGTTGATTCTCAAATGGTCTTATAATAATCAAATAAATTCAGTAAGCAATGTTTATCAAGTAAAAGAAAATGGCTCTTTCATATGGACGTGAGGCTTGGCAAAATATAAGTAATGAGGTCATCAATAATCTCACCAACATAAACAGACTAGAATAGAGTTTTGAATATTTAGTTGGCTTGATTCCACTGAAGTATTCAATTCATGGCCAATACTTCTCTCTGTCAATCTGAGGAAATGACATTCAGTACATTCTAAACGACAAAATAAACAGCACACTTGTGCAAATAGAAAACACTACTCATAAACCAAAGGATATTTTTGTCACAGTTCTCGCAAGATTGAGATTATAAAGTTCAGAGAAGATAGATAGAGTTGTGAATGCAAATGCCTGCATGAATATTCTAATATAGATATTAAAAGTTAAAAACCTGAACAACTTTTTCATAAATCTTTTGCATCTTGTATGTTTCGAGTTCTCTGTTCACATATTACACAGAAAAATTCAAAAATTAAAGACTCCAATAATGATAATAATGACCATCAGTGATAAATAATTGACAACTGAACTCCCAGACCTCATTCCAAGGCTATTCAAGTACTCTTCTGATTGAGGATACGACACCCAATTAGTCAAATATTCCACAAATGGGAGATCCTTGAACTTGATGAAATCGAATGAGAGCATTACGAACCCCATTCCGCTCAAGAAATCTAACACTTTAGATGAAAAGTAGTTAGGAACTAGAGGCAACAGTACTGCAAGCTGCATACTGTTCATGATACTAAAGATGGAGTTGATAGATGACAATGACAAAATAGATGAAGCACTTGCAAGTATGACGCTTGATACTACCAAAGCAGCAGCAGTTTTAGTTGTTCTAGCCATAGCGCCTATTTTGGAGCAAGATTTTTGTGGATTAGAACTTTGATAACCATCAACTCATGTCTCTCAAATATTAGGACTCCCTAATTTTCAGATTTCACAGTGCTCAATTGATCACTCTTCCACAGTAATTTCGAACTTCTTATAATGCACTTCGCTATCAAACGAGATTTTCAAAGAAAAGAAAAAGATTTTTGGAGTATCCAATTTAGGAGTTGTGTTAAGGTACAACTCTTGGTTGTCAGCGTCCAACTGAACCCATTCAGGGATTGAATGAGAATCAGTCTGAGCTAGGCTGAAACTAATGTCAGTGTATTCTCCAGACTGAATTCATGCCCAGGTGAAATCTAGTTTCACCGAAGTGTTACTCTGAACTGACTGGGTATAATCTTGATTCCACAAAGCCACATAAGTAGCAAATGAAGGATTCGCTGAAGAAGTAAGGTCAGTTGTTACAACTGGTGATGAGGCTGAGATAGTGAGAGTCTTAGTACTTGGAGATATGTCTGGGTTCGATGTTGTTGATGACACTAGATAATCAGTGGTAACTGGGCTGAAGAGAGGAGTGTCTTCTTCAAACTCTTTCAGCTGACTGATTTTGTCTGTAGATGATCTTGTCATAAAGAATGTATCATTGGTTATAATTGTTCCAGTCTGATATATCAGTTCTTCACCTTTGTACAATAATCTTCCAACAGCATAAGCCCTAGAGCCTATAGATTTGTATTCTTTCAGAATTTCTGTATTAGAAGAATTTATCAGGATCAATCTTTTTCCATTAGATAGCGAGCTGCTATCAATTTGAACAGCAATGAAATTAGTAAACTCTTCCATTGAATAACTATTGTAAAATCCACTATCATTCCAAACCAGCCCAGAATTCTGGGAATTTCCATCAGCCACACTTAGCTTGTAAAAAATAAAATTTCTATCATATAGAATCATTGTGTAGAGCCATTGCTCATTTCCACTCAAAAGGGAGCTACTATATTTGTCTTCTCAACCTGAAGTTGGACAGTCAATGCTCTTCTTCCAGACCAGGCTAGATGAAGAGAAGTTGTAATTCACTAGGTAGTACTGATCTGCAACTGTATCGATCGACCCACAGAACATCAATTCGTCGCTGATCTGAGCAAAGTTGGCTGGCTTGTATACTCCAAAATCGAATCAGTCCAGATTGGGATTTGAAGTGTCCCATCTGCAAATATGCATTGCTGAATTCAAACTGAGACTAAAGTAGAGGTTATTTATCAATTCCATCCCTGAATGCCCATTAACAAAGCCAGAACTAACTGACAACTCTCTTGATATCATCAAGTCTGAAGTCCTGACTTCTAATATCTTTCCCCCTGTAATACTAAGAATGTACATAAAGTCTTTGTTCTGAGTTATAGCAAAGAAATTGTGATGCGACTGAATATCATAAGTCATCACTTTGAGTTTGGTTAACTCAGGGTCAGCCTTGTAGATGATTGTGCTAAATGAACCAGGAAGCCCAATTCTTCCAATAAAATAGAGTAATTCATTTTCTTGGTCTTCCGCAATATTCAAAAGATAAAGATTAGTAAGTCCATTGATTCCAAAACTTCCAGAAAGAGGTGGTTCGCTCGCTTGGGAGTCATTCTGACACATATTGGCTGTAGCAGCCATGATAGTTAACATCAGTATGAGGATTGAGTTCATTTTATAATATTAATTATATAATTCTCCATAATTTATTATATATGGGGTTTTGGGGTTTTGGGGTTTTGGGG